CTGACGATTGACGACGGAGGAAATGGCTGACCGTCGACGACGCAACCTGTGCTTCCATTACGATGCTCCTTTTTCAGCGGATCAAGTCTGCAGTAATCCCCAACTCAACGAGATGCTATTAGGAGTAAGTGGCGAGGGAGAAATGGTAGCGGAGGAAATAGGCAACGCAGTGACAGAAGAAGAAGAACAACCCATGCAATTAAGTGTGCACAGCATAGTGGGAGTGACCTCAAATCGATCTTTCAAGGTGTGGGGCGAGATTCAAGGGCATCGAATTGTGGTGCTGGTGGATACCGGGGCTACTCACAATTTCCTGCATGATCAAGTGGCTAAAGACTTGAGACTCTCTGTCGACAACAAACAGAGCCACATAGTCGAAGTGGGGGACGGAAATCGCGTCCATAGTGCTGGGGTATGTCGACAACTCTTAATTACTTTTCCTGGTTTGGTAGTTGTGCAGGACTTTTATTTATTTCCTCTGACAGGAATGGATGTTGTTCTGGGGTTTGAATGATTGGAGGGATTAGGAGAGATAAGGGCTGATTTCCGTGAGCTGAGCCTTAAGGTACCCACAGAAGAAGGAATGGTGGAGTTTAGGGAGACCCTAAACTGACACGGAGCCTGATGTCCTACAAGAAGATGGGAAAAACTTGGCGCAAAGGGGCAGAAATGTACTTCATTGAACTGGGGTTGATAACTACACAAGCAGGGAAACCTGAGTCTATTACAGGAGAGGTGGAAAAGATTCTTCGAAGCTTTGAGGATGTATTTAAAACACCCACTGAGCTTCCTCCTCCTAGAAATTGTGATCACCGTATACCGTTGAAAGAGGGAGCCGACATACCCAATATCAGGCCCTATTGTTATCCACATTATCATAAGACAGAGATTGAGAAATTTATCGGAGATATGTTGCTGTTTGGAATGATTCGACCTAGTAGTAGTCCATTTTCGAGTCCCTTGATTATGGTGAAAAACAAAGATGGAAGCTGGAGGTTCTGTATGGATTATAGAGCACTGAATCGGGTCACCATTACAGATAAGTTTCCCATGCCAATTATGGCATAATGGCCAGACCTCTCACTCAACTGCTGAAGAAAGATAATTTTAAATGGGATGATCAGGCTGAGGAGGCTATTGTGAAGTTAAAGCACGCTATGATGAAGCTGCCCACGTTGGTTCTACCAGATTTTGAGAAACAATTTGTCATTGAAACGAATGCTTCTGGTTTGGGAATGGGTGCGGTGTTAATGCAAGACTCCTTGCCCATTGCATTCTTAACTCAAGCTTTTTCAGACAAGGCACGCAGCTTATCAGTGTATGAAAGGGAACTCAAAGCAATTGTCCTAGCAGTGCACAAACGACGCCGTTATCTCATGGGCCATAAATTTCTCATTCGCGTGGATCAGAAAAGTTTGAATTTTTAACGGAGCAAAGGCTGATGGCGGAAGGCCAACAAAGGTTGGCAACCAAGTTACTTGGCTTTGATTTTGAAATACATTATCGGCCAGGGGTGGAGAATCGAGCAGCAAACGCTTTATCACGTGTGATGGAATTCAAAGGGGTCACATTATTGTCCAGCCCAGACTTACTATCGTTGACTAATGACAGCAATCAAGATGCAGAAATTCAAAAGGTTATGATGGAAGTGTTACAAGATGCCCAATCCCGTCTGGATTATATAGTCAACAGAGGTTGTTTATGGTTCAAAGGACGACTGGTTATTCCTAATCAGTCTCCACGAACCCAATTATTGCTTCAATAGTTTCACACATCACAGTGGGGTGGCCATTCCGGTGAATTACGTACCTTCAAGAGGATTTCGTCTATTTTTTATAAGAAGGGCATGAGGCGTGATGTGGCATCTTTAGTACAAGCTTGCACTACCTGTCAACAACAAAAGTATTGTCAACTTTCTCTTGCAGAGTTGCTTCAACCACTTGGTATTCCAAACAAGGTGTGGGAGGAGGTTACAATGGACTTTATTGGTGGATTACCTAAATCCCATATGGATACAATCTTCGTGTTGGTAGATCGCCTTTCGAAGTATGCCCATTTTATTTCGTTAGTACATCCACTCACTGCTCAACAAGTAGCTGCTGTCTTTATCCGTGAAGTGGTACGTTTACATGGTTTTCCCATTTCCATCGTATCAGACCGTGATAGGATATTTATTAGCAGTTTCTGAGAGAAACTTTTTCATCTTGCCGGTACTAAATTGACGTTTAGTTCGGCCTATCACCCTCAAACCGATGGCCAAACGGAGGTAGTGAATCGAACAGTTGAGAGTTATCTTCACTGTTTTGCGGGGCATCATCCTAAGTGTTGGATAAAATGGATTTCATGGGCTGAGTTTTGGTTCAATACTTCTTACAATCGCTCTACTCAAATGACACCATTCAAAGCCTTATATGGTAGGGATCCCCCCGTTTTGATTCAGTTTGACACTGGTAGTACAAAGTTGGAAGTTGTAGATCAATTGTTGAGTAATAGAGATGCTGTTCTAGACGAGTTGAAACACAATCTTTGTCAGGCTCAAGCTCAGATGAAGTTATCAGCGGATAAAAAACGAAGAGAGGTGGAATACGCACTGGGGGACAAGGTATATTTGAAGATTCATCCTTACAAACTTAAATCACTGGCTAGGCGTCTTAATCAAAAGCTTAGCCCAAGGTTTTAAGGACCTTTTGAGATTATTAAGAGAGTAGGAGCAGTTGCTTATGAATTATCATTGCCTTTGTACGCAAAAATTCATCTAGTTTTTCATGTATCCCAGTTGAAACGTGTCGTGGACCTTGTTGTTCAGATTCTGGACCTCCCTCAGTGCTTATCCGACACCTTAGAGTTGCAGGTCCAACCTGCAGATGTGGTGGACAGCCGTAGATTATTGGGGGGACAAGTTGAGATATTGGTTCATTGGGCTGGTTTACCAGACTGTATTCAAGGCACAATTTCCTCACTTTCACCTTGAGAACAAGGTGAATGTTAAGGAGGCAGGAATTGGTGAGGGGCTGAAAAAGGTCTATAGTAGAAGGAGAGGAAAAATGGGGCAAACTAGGCCTAATGTAGAGGGTCGTTGGGCTTAATGTAGAGAGTCCAGCAAAGGACATGCAAGTTGCAAATGTGGGGTCTGAGCAAGTTAGTCCAAAGTTGCAGGATGCAAGGATTGGGCCTGTCCAGGCGAATCCATGAGTAATGTAGAGAATCAAATAGCAGATACAAGGAAGAATGCAACGTTGGTTATAACAAATTGAGATGTAAGAACGAGGAGTTTGTTAGAGGAGATAGAAGGTACAACTGCGTAAGGGGAATATAAGCCAAGTAATGGGTAGGAGACGATAGGAATGAAGAATATTATTCAATACAGTGGTGAATTGTGGGAGGAAGGGTACTGTGGAGTCCCTTAGTTATTTTCCATTCAGCTTTTGATTTTCCTTCAAGTTTATGTTAGCCATTGTTTAGTGTCTCTAGCTAGTTATAGGAATTGTTTCCTTACTATCATTGTCTGTAAATTGTTTATGGTTTTATTATCAATCAAATTGAGGTTTCATCAAAGTATCTTGATCACGACTCAGAGTATTACACATAAAATTTTAATCTAATTGATAAAAGAATAATTTAACATGAATGTAAACGATTATTATAAGCACATAAAAAAAAAATCACTCATTAAACTTCGACTAGTGAGGGTGGGGTGAGGGCAACCTTTGCACGCAGCCTTACCCTTGCATAATTGCAAAAAGACTGTTTTTGGAATTTGAACCCGTGACCTTTCAGTCACAAAAGAATAGTTTTTCCACCACTCTAGGCTCCTTCCCTATTATGAGCACATATAAGTAAAAAGAATGACTAAAGGATAAATTAAAATAGAAAAATTAGGAAACTCCATATACTATTGTGAAGTATTTAACAAAAGAGATCATGTATTTGCACACATAACTGGCTCTTATCTTTTTCTCTTATTAGTGAAATGCTAAACTAATTCTGAAGTAAGGATACAACATTTCCAAAATGTCCTTTCAACTAATGAGTGAACACAGTACAAGCACAAACACCCTCCCATAAAAATGCACAACCATCCCCAAAAACCCTCACTCCACCACTATTAGCCCAGTAAAAGTTAGCGCTTAATGTCACACAAAACCCTAACTCTGCCGCAACTGGTCTGGAAAATGTCTGCACTTAAACTTATCCAAAACCTACTCGGTCACAAGTGGCCCAGTAAAAGTTAGCACTTAATCTTATACCTAAAGAGTATTCTCCATAATCAAATTACTAACAGGTTAGAGATCTCCAACACAGCTGCCCAAATACCAATAACAATTATATTGTGGATACAACAGCCAAAGATCCTTGAGAGGAGTAGACAATAAGTCCACTGTCTATCTTGAAGCAAATCATAAGAGAACAACTCAAATTTTGAAGCACTAGCAATTACTCTCCTTGGACATTCTTAACAGAAACACAACATAGAAAATAATAGCAAAGCTAAGGAACATACTTGCCAAAAATGTGCAGCCATTACTCACTGCAATTGTGACTGAAACCAATCCAACCCCATCTCCAATGTCATAGTTTTCATTTCAGTATCAAAATTCAAAATCATTCCGGCCTTTCTAGGAAATAAACAACTACCTCATATCTAGATCACAAACGAACTACTTTCTTGCCATTTGAATCACCAAGCACAGATCATTTAATCAACTTCTCTATTAAATTTCTGGAGATGAACTTAATGTTTTATCCCTATTTTAAACGCCGTTTGGGGGAACGGGTGACAATGATGTCTAAACTGAAATAGAATGACTATAATTACAAGCCTTGAAGCACATTGTTAGATCCCAATACCAATAATTTATTGTAGAATTGTAGCGGAACACTAGCATCAATGAATTCTCGCAGTAAAAGATAAGGCACACAACCTTCTTTCCCCCCTCCCCTTTTCTTCCCACACATCCTTATCACATAGACATGTGCAGAGTCAGAAATTAGTGAAGTACCTCACCCATGAGACATCCAACAAAGGCAAGAACTATGGATGCTAAAATTCCAGCCAAGGTTCCTTCAACACTAACTGCCCCTTCTGTGCCTCTTGGAACTACCTTAAATGTTGTAACTAGGTACCTGGACATTGTGCACGAGGAACTTTAGCACTGGAAAGTCGCAAGAAAACATAAGCTAAAAGAAACATTCTCTATTTTTGGAAGAAAATAAATCTTAAATCACTAGGGATATCATAATTCACAATTAATCAGTAACTACTAGAATCAATTGACACCAAAATTATTAGTGCCAATCATGTAAAATGTAGGTCTAGCAAATATATTACACAAGGTTATGCAAGGAATTAACAAGCCAACACATATTGCTCACTTAGTTCAGGCACTACTACAGATAGAGGGGAATCCATTAGTCGCCAGATGGAAATTCTATTAACAAGAATAACAGAACAGCCTAAAAATTTTCTGCACCTGTACAGAATTAAGATTTCTTCAAGGGCTTACATCAGTTCATTGCACAGAACTTATATTACGGGGAAAGGGGGTCTCACAAAAAGCTAACAAGTTAGAAACGATGAAAATTATTCATAAACAGATATTGATAACAACAGAACACAGCCAAGGACCAAAGTCCACACCATAGTTCACTACTCACGTTGTTTTTCCATATGCCTTCCCTATCTCACTTGAGACAGTGTCACTCAACTTGGTACAGAAACTGGCAACAAACCCAAGTCTCCAAAGCTGAGAAAATGCCTCTCCCCCAACTCCAAAAATCGCGAGGAAAGCACAAACGCAACCAGCAGCACTGGATCCAATAACACTACCAGGACCCCTTCTTCCTCTTCTTTTCTCTGCAACCCCCTGGGCCACTTTCTGTGCCATTTTGACCTTCGTTGCAGCCGTACCCTAACAAACCCCATACAAATCAACTCCAAAGAACGCAATGCCCCAATCCCAGAAGCAAAAACAAGGAAAATTCTCACACCCATTTTTAGAACTGCATAGAACTCCTTAAATAACTACTTGTTCTCTCAAAATTTTATCACTTGCAAAGAACACAAGTTATCAACCCCAAAAACAATATCAAGAAAAATCTCCACACCCATTTCCAAAATTGTACAGAATTCCATGAAAAAACCAATTTTGCTCTCAAAATTAATCACTTCCAAATAACCTAAACAGAAAAAAAAAAAAAAAAAAATCCTGCTTACACTGACGAAATAGGTAAAATTTGTAACTTTTCAAAGAACGCAAAGGTTCAATCCCAGAAACAAAAAAGAAACGAAAATCCCCCATGACCATTTTCACAATTTCACAGAACTCCATCAATAACAAATTTTGTTTTCAAAACTCATCACTTTCAGAGAACAACAAACAGTCTGAACCCCAGAAACAAAAACACTTAAAATCTCAACACCCATTTCCCAAATTCCACAGAAGTCCAAGAAAAAACTAATTTTTCCCTCAAAAACACATCACTTTCAAAATAAAGCCAAGTAGCTAACTATAACAGAAAGAAACAAAGAAAGGATTTTGAGCTCACAATGATAAAATAGGTGGCAACGAGGAGGAACCCAGAAGGGCCAAAAGCACGCCAAGTAAGTGTTCCGAGCAGAAAAGCTGCAGCGATGCCGGAGAGGGACAAGCCAGTGACGAGAATGGGAGAACCCAGAAGGAAGATCAAGAGGTTGCTTAGAAGAGATGATTGCCACGTGGCAGGAGACGATTGGAAGAGAGCCATGGCTCCTCCAACAGCATCTTGGACGCTGGTGACACGCGAAACCTGCATGTTCTGGAGCCTGTTATGGTGATCAGATCGAAGAAGAAGGCGAGGGTTGATGATTGAGATTGCGGGTTTTGGAAAGAGAGAAGATGGTGTGAGTGTGCGTTGAAAGGGAAAAGGGGAAGAAGGGAATGTGATGGTGTGAAGAGTTGAATAGGAATAAGCCATCAATTTGAAATTGCGAGTGAATGTGAATGAAATGAGAGAGATATAGAGAGAGAGAGGACTTGGGAAAACACTGTTGAGTGTTGCTGTCTCTTGAATGCATACCGTTGTAGTTACGTTATGTCTTTATTACAATCCTCTAATAATAATAATAATAAATTTATATTTATAATTTTTTTTGTATACCAACATTTATAAATTATATTATGGGTGTGCTTGACAACCTTTCTCGAATAAGTTCTTTTTAAATTTCTGTTCCCAACAAAAATGGATAGGAAACTCGTTTGGTAAAATTAGTTTATTTTTTTGTTCCCGAGATGAACCGCTTTAATTTTTGTGCTGGGAACAGAAAAAAGAATAATTTTTTTTCTACTTTTTGTTCCCGACCACAAAATGAGAAACACTTGTATCTTTCAATCACTCTCTACCTCTACCATCATCACCACTATCATCATCGTCACCACTGCCACCACCACCATGATGTCACTCCCACCATCACCATGCCTCCATCCATATCTACCACCGCCACCACCACCACTATCATCATCGTCACCACCACCATCACCAACCACACCATCATCATTGCAGCCACTGCCGCCACCACTACCACCACCACTACCATCGCCATAGCCACCGTCACTAAAGCACGGACACGCTGATCAAACAAAATTTTGCGTGTCGGACACGTGTCCGACACGGACACGCTCGGACACGCGTCCGACACGTGGTCAACATTTGGGGACACGCGGTCAACTCTCCGACACGTTCCGACACGTTTTTTGGACACGCAGTCAACTTTTTTGGACACGCAGTCAACGCTAGGACACGCTCGGACACGTTTTTTTTTTTTTTTTAAATCTTAATTTTATTTTGTTAACTAAATATAAAAGAAATAATTTATAAATTAATTTTTTTCTGTTATGAAATTTGACATGAAAAATTAACAAAGTACGAAAAATTATTTATATTTATATTTATGTTATGAAATTTAAATATTTGATTGGTTATATGACTTATTATGAACTCTTATATGTCTTAAATATAAATTATATTATATATATTAAAAATTTATTTAATATTAAAACGTGTCCCAACGTGTCCAAATATGACATTTTTTAGAATTAACGTGTCGGCGTGTCGTGTCGTGTCGTGTCCCGTGTCCGTGCATCATAGGCCACCGTTGTCACCACCACCACCAACCACCACCATCAATGTCGCATCCATTGACTTCACCATCATCACCACGTCATCGCCACCGCCACCACCACTACCATTACCACTACCACCACCGTCACAACCACTGTTATCACCACCACTACCATTGCCGCCACCACCATCGACACCATCATCGTCGCAACTACTGCCGTTACCGTGGATCACCACCGCCACCACTATGCCACCATTACCACCACCGCTGTCGCAGTCACTACCGTCACCACCACCACCACCATGCCACCACCACTACCACTACCTTCACCATCATCATCACTGCTGCCACTAGCACCATCGTCGTAGCCATTGCCATCACCACCACCACCATCGCCACCACAACCTCTGCCGCGGCTACCACGACTATGCAACCACCATCATCACCATTACCACCACCACAGCCACTGCCGTTACCACCACCATTACCACCACGACGCCACCTCCGCCACCGCCACCACCGCCACCATCACCATATAAAAATGAAAGTGATATCCGAATTTTTTTTATGTTTAATAGGAATTATTTTTTATTATATTATTTGTTGTGTTATCAAATGCAATTTTCATTCTTGAATTAAAATAAGAATAAATACCATTTTTGGTCCCTACCAAAAAACACGGTCCCCACTTTAGTCCCTTACAAAAATAAATTAGTCAGTTAGTCCCTAACAAATTCAAAGTGGACCCATTTTAGTCCTTTTAAGGGACTAATATGGGTCTTTTTTGAATTTGTGAGGGATCACGATTTCAACTAAATGGGTCCACTTTGAATTTGTTAGGGACTAACTGACTAATTTATTTTTGTAAGGGACTACAATGAGGACTGTGTTTTTTGTTAGGGACCAAAAAAGATATTTACTCTAAAAATAAAGCATGTTATCAAACACATTTTTTTTCTCAGAAACTATTTCAAGGCACAAAAATAGAAAATAATTGTTTTTTTCAGAAACAGTGTCAAACAGAATAATTGTCATGCACACCCTATGTCTCAACAATGTATGACCAATTATATTTAATACAATTTATAAAAAAAATTATAAGTGAAAAAAAATGTTATATTTTATTAATAATTTTCTTAAGTTGATAAATATTTTGAGGCTCCGTTTATCGGTTGGATAGTTCGATTTGTGCAATCCTAAGTGGAGCCAACCCTCCCAATACAATTTTTTATTTATTTATAATACTCCAACTCAAACCTCAACACAAACTCTTTACTACTTGTGCTAATAATATTTGGTAAGTTAATAAATATTAAATAAATACTAATTTATTTAATATTTTAAGAACATAAAATGAATCTAACTTTTTATTTAGTAGTTTAAAAAATGGGTTCACTTTTTCTACATTCAATGTAGATAATTTATCTACATTGAGTCCAAAACGATGTCATTTTGAGGCGAAAATCAAAATATTTTTGTAATTATAATTGATTTCAGGGTTATAACAGTCTTTTTCATTATAATTTTTTAATTTGTCAATCCAAAATGAACTCGTTTTAGAAGCGAATGTAGATAACTTATCTACATTCACTTTAGAAACATTAAAGCTTTAAAAAATTGGTTAACAGAATTTAAAATTATTCATTAAATAATGTTTGCTACACATAAAATGGACTTGTATTTTTCATCATATCAAACTAAAAAGGTAAATAATAGATTTTTTTAATAAGAACAATTATACAAATTAAGATGATATATGCATAAATATTCACGAATAATGGTGTTTAAAGCATTGTTGTCAGATCCGGCCCAACCCGGCCGGATCGACCCGAAACCCGCTAACCCAATGAAGTAACCGGTTTAGGTTGTACTTTGAACCAACCACGCAATCAACTCAGTACGACTCGGCCGAGTTTTGATGAAAGCCGTTGACCTTCCGGGTCTTGTGAACCGCGGGTCAGATACTCAGATTAAAAAAAAATTCACACTCCCTACCAAAAACACAACCCAGCGAAATCCCTAACCTAACCCATAAACGTAAGGAAAAAAAATCATCTTTCGGCATTTTCACAGGTTCCTCTTCTCACCTCTTTCTACTGAATCTACTCACAGCTTGGAAGCTTCAACTTTTACTCAAAGAAGGTACCCATAAACTTTAATGATTTATTGTTGAGATCCTCATTTGCTTTTTGTTCACCCTAGATGCTTCTGTTGCTTCCTTTGCAGCAAGCGAAGCAGCTGGTTTGTTTAGGAGTGGATGCTCTGCTACTTTATGCCACCATTGCTGCCCCTGTCCTTTCCTATCTTAAATCCCTCTCCATTTTCAATTTGCTAAATCAAACATAGTTGTTGGTATTGAATGGGGTTGATCTTTGATTTGTGGTAGTTCATTGTAGAATAGCTAATACATACATTTGTTTTGATTTTTTTTTTTGCTATTCAGATTTAAATCTGATCTGTTGTCAGTATAGAGAGTTTTACTCTGTTAGTGAACCAGTGCCAACTATTTAAGATGACTTTTTAAAACTTCATTGCAAGTGAAATATTTTAATCATTCCAGTATTCCTATGATGTGGCACTTCAATGCTTTATGATAATGCTTAGCTTTAGACGGATAATTGATAGGATTTGAACTATTGCAATTTTTTCTTGATATCCAATTCGGTTTAATTAGATGTGAGCACTGTCAAACTCTTACAATTTCATCTCACGTAGAAATTGTTTTTGATGCTGCTTTGTACTCCAACAATTAGAATGGTTTGGGCATTTAATGGATGAGTTGTTGATATAAGTCGTATTTGCTGATAAATTTATCTATGGTCTTGTTTCTTTCATCCATGTTAGTTAAATTGTTCTTTTGTTTTCTCTTGTTGCCAAAATAAGGTGTGGGCTATTGCAGATTCAAAGCGACAAGGTTTTCTTGGTTTCACCGAGTTTATAATTGCTATGCAGGTAAAAGTATGTTATGCTTCATTGAAATTTAATGCTGATAAATTTCCTGAATCTTTATGTACTGCCATGAAACTAACAGACCAAAATGCAAGCAGTGTTGGTCAAGATTTAAATGAGTTTGGTGGAGAAAAAGAGCCTCTGATTGACACAACTTTGGCACCATCAGGATAGTGATAGCATGCAATTTCATTTATTTGTTCTTATTTTGTGCAATTTACTGATTTAAGTATGAACTTGTAATAGTGTGATGGGGTAATTTTTGAGCTTATTTAATGAATCTTGTTTATCTCTTTTAGATATAGAGAATTTTTAAATTTTTAAATTTATTTTTATATATATTTATAAATATCCGGGTCAACCGGTCCGACCAGTGACCCATTGACCCACTACCCCGACTGGGTCGATGCCCGGGTCGGGTTTAATAACACTGGTTTAATGGGATTTTATTGACTTGAGAGCACGATAAATCTCTTATGGAGAGCATCTAAAAATCTTAGGTACCATCAGATGCAAATTCAGAGTTTTTTCAATGGTGGTTGCGACGTATAATTGAATGAGATGGAATACATAAATTAGAAATCAATGAGGACTTGATTTTATGCATTTACAAGAGAGAAAAGTAATGAGTTTATTCCTAGAAGACGTCCGCTACAAGCCTAGAAGAAATGGTTTATTGTGAAAGTTTTACGAGGCAGGGAAAGCATGAAGAGAAACACAAACCGTCCGAGCAGTAGAAAGGGAGTATCCCTAGAATAAGCTCTATTGTTGCAACAAAGAGTGGAAAAGAAAATCGAGAAGACCTCGTTTGAGAGAAGCTGAGGGACAAAGCATATTTTGTGTAAAATTAGAGTGAAATAATATGTTTGATACTGGCGGATCGAGTATGTCCACCTATAAGGTGGTAAGTTATTATTGGATTTGCGGATATTTATGATAGAGAAAACACAAGGATTTATGAATCATTATGCATTAATGAGACAGATCACCATGCATTAATAAGAAAACGGCATAGCCAGAGATGTTTGTTCGGAGTAATAATCAATATAAAATGAGCAAAAAGTATGTACCTGATAGATAGGGTTGTGAAATGCTCAGATAAAAGGGAAGACTAATCCATGGCTTCTTAAGGATTGTGAGGCTCCCGATCACTTGGTATCAGAGCCTAACTCTGTGTCATCTTTGATGACAGGCTCCTTACCTGATGAAGGCAGTTTTAAGAAAACTCTTCGAGTTTCTTCCAGAGAGAGGGTAAAGATAGTAATAATATTATATGAGGTAAGTAGGAGATGAACTTTTCAAATCATGGATAACACAAACACTAAAAATACACAGCCTATTACGTTACAATCTTCCCTTTCCCTTCATAAACACATTCCTTCTAAAATATCTTCAAAAATAGAAAATCTTATAAAGTACTCTTATGTTCCTGAAGATGCAAAGATCCTTGAAACAATACTACCCTTGCTTAGTCCTTATAATATCTTTAAAAGACAAAGATCGGTGCTTAAAAGTATCACTAAGTTGATCTCAACCAGGAGACCAACAATGAAAGAACATGTCCAGTCTTCTAGAATGGATCAGTGTGAACTACAAACCACTTCTTAAGAACAGTATGTAGATCTGGAGATTTTGGTGCAATAAGACTATACTGCACTTCATTTTGGTGCAATAAGACTAATCCTTTCACTTCATGGAAGGAAAGGTCTACCAGTACAACTCGTATTGCTCTGCTAGATTCTAGCTTCATCCATTATGAAAATGCTGTTATTGGAACTGTGCTGACGACTCTTCATGCGGAAAGTGTGGTTTTAACCATCTTTCCAAATTATAATGTGAGTCTCAAAGATAGAACCTTGCCAAAAAGGTTGAAGGTGCAGATACAGCTCACAGGAGCTGATCAAGTCTCTGAGGCGTATACAACAACTCTTCACCATCAGATGATCTATAGACTTCAAGATCATGCTGTAGATCTTCCCTAGCTGTCTAATAGCCACCGTGATGCTTTGTTTGTTATAGCCAAAAATCCAGAAGATACACCTTCAATCATCCAGATTCCTAGAAAGATATCCCGTGAAGAATTAACAGAGCTGATTCCCTTAGAATGGCTGACTAATTATGAAAAAAATTCATAAAGCCAGCAAGCCCATTGTCGCAACCGTATCGCGACGTGACGACGAAAGAATATTGAATGGTTAAAACAATGGAGTCGCCACCAAGGTTTATTTAGGAAAAACATTGGAAAAACCTTTTATTAAAGACAAATGGTCTTTGACAGCAGAAATGGATTCGGGAGTCGATTACGAGTAGGGAAGGTGTTAGCACCCTACACCGTCCGTTTAACAAAAGGTTACCTTATATCAATTGTGCAAATTATTGATAAGATTTTAAATATTTATTTCACCCTAAAAAATTAAATAAAATCGATTGCTGAAAAAGAAAACTAATTTTGAAAATGTATTTTTGTGCTTGACGGGATGGTCCCGCTCCGACGTATCCCTTGGTACAATAGGGAACTCAAAGCTACGTCGTTCTGTAGAAAATATTTGTGTGTTGATTGATTTTAATTTTGAAAGTAGTTTTAAAGAAAATAATTTGAAGGTTTTGGATTTGATGGTTTCGGAATATCAAACTGTCGCAGTTAAAATAATCCGAAATGATAATTGCAGGATTAACAAGTTGTCTCAACTCAGCTAATCCTTTCTTTTAAAAGAATAATAATATTCATATTGTTATTTTTTTGTTATAATAAATTTTATGATAAATTTGATTTAATTTTGAATCACCAAGCCGTCACGGCAAAAATGAGTCAAAACAAAATGTGTGAGGTTAACAAGCCGTCACGACTCAGCTGACTCCCATTTCAATTGATATCGAACTAATTTTTTATTCTTTGTGTTTCAGATTAACCTAAAATCAATAATTTTAAATAAAAAATGATGATTATTTATTTATTTATTTATTATTTCTAAAATCATCGGACTGTCACAGTCGAAATGATTCTAAAAAAATTCAGAATTAGCAAGATGTCACATCTTAGCTAACCCCTATTTTTATAATTTATGAATTATTTTTAAATCAATATATATTTAACAAATGAAAATAATGATAAGAAAGTTGTTAATCATGTAGACTAGACACACAAAATTCTACACAGACAAAAAGTATAACATCAATCACTGACAGCTCAATTTTTATTTTCATTATAATTATTATTATTTTTTAAATTGGAACCTAATGCTACCGACAACAAACTCTAATTGTGAATTCAGCCTAAGGCCCACAAAGTGTATAGTAGTTTACGAAGGAAAACAAGAACAGTAATAAAGTAAGCTAAAAGAAAAGGAACTAGGCTTAATTTTTTGTTTACTCACGGCATAATAAAATGGGTGAAGTTTGTCTATCTTCTAGCCTTTTTAGCGCATGCAATGAAACATTTTTTCATGAATCTCTTTGGTATTTTTTTTCTTTTTATTTGATTTATCATTATATTGTTCCATCCAAGCATGATAACTTAAAGATGATGGTTAAAAGAAGGCTGACTGGGCTATTTGTAACGTGGTGAGGACGTCTTTTTAACATGTCCGCTTGCTTTCTTGCTTTAATTATTTTATTCAAAATATCTAACTTAGCAAGAGCTTGCACAGTGAAACCAATTCCCTCACATGGAAACACGTTACATGTAGATGGAAAAAAGTAAGATAAATAATTAAACAAATGACAGTAGAAATATTTAAAAAGCGGTAACCAGTGGGTTTGGCTGGAGTGCAAAATATGGCGGACCTCATGATACAGCAGCGGCAATGATGTATTGGTGCAGTAGTTCACACAGTGCAGGCAGAACTTGCGATGGCTGGTTTGACACAGATGATTTTTTCTAGTTTGCTTTGAGGTTATAGGCTCTTCGTTCCTCCTAGAAACTATCCTCAAAGTTTATCTCCTATGATTTGCATTTCTGAGTTTCTTATTTTTTCCCTCCCTAAGTTCTGTCCCTCTCTCCTTTCCTTTTGATCTGTATGTATATCCTTGGTATTTATAGAGAGCTATCCCAAGAGGTTTCTTCGCATGAGGGTTTCTTGCCTCTTCCCTTTATGCAGGCTTTTTGATTCAATAGACGGCGCCTCTGTTTTCTCCTATATCCATGCTTCCACCGCCCCAAACTCTGCTCTCTATAGCCCTTATGCTTCTTTTCTTTTCTTTTAAAAAAAATCATCCAGCAATTTCGCTGCTAGATATGGAGAGCAAATGTAATGATGAGAGATGAGACAGTTTGAAGGTTAGGGTGAAGTATAGGTTCAGGATGGAGGTTACGTAGGTAATGGAACAATGTTTTTTTTTTTTTAATTTTATTTTTTATTATTATATATATTTTATTCCTCACATTTTATTTTCTACTTTATTTTTTTAGGACAAAATTGAGTAGTTACACCCATCCAATCTCATGAGGCGAGTTTCAGAAGATCTGTGGATGGAACTGTCAGAACAATTTTCAAGAAGCCTGATGCAGTAGCCAGCAGTTCTACCCTTCCTATTTTCTAGTCTATGATGATATCTCCATGTTATACAGAAAATCAGATCCCTGTTTATGGGATAAGGCCAGATGGATCTCCCATCTTTACTGATTGTATTGATGGTCATTTCATATGGGATGTAGATCCTAATATGTGTGATCCTGAGTGTGATTGTTGGATGCACACAGGAGATACTTCTGCTGAAGAAGAAGAAGACACAAGGAGTCGTAGGCATTGCAAACCACCTCCTCATGTCCAAAGAAGATCTGACCTAGATAATGGTCCATGGGTAAGTCTTAAAATACAGAAAAAACCTAAACCTCTTTGGATCTATAAGAGAGGTTTAGAAATTTTGAGAGAAGAAGGACTACTTCCACTAGAACTACCAAATGACCCTGATCTCCTGACCTGGTCTCCAAGATGCCAGCCTGAACCAATACCTTGCATGATGTTTTCACAACATGACTTTCCTCCCTTAGAAAGATGTACTGACCCAACCATAAAAATCACTACCAAGCCTGTGATTACTCAAGGAGAAGTCCATCCAGATGGAAAGATGAAACCGTTAAGCCAAGCTGAAGAAGTTCTTAATTGGCAGACTAAGAATGCTCAAGCTCAGAATACTGTTCTGAAAAGTCTTGATGCTAGAGTTGAAAAGATTTACAACCAGAAGGATACGGTTGAAGACCGTATGCAACATCTCTAAAAAAAGATGAGAAAGCATTATGAGAAGAATATGCAGAGAATTGC